CTGACACTCACAGGAACAACACTGCAGACACACAGAGTCACTGACCCTCACAGGAACAACACACAGGGTCACTCTCACAAAAATGACACTGCAGACACAGGGCAACTAATTACACTGCAGTTCAGTCTGTTTCAAACATTTATGTCATACAGCTAAAGTCACAGCCTTTGTATCGTGGATCTGTTATCCTGTTTTGTGTTTTAACTTCAGGGCACCATGAGACCAATAAGACCCGCTGGAATCTGGCCCTTGAGGAGGCCGTTAGAAAGAAATTTGGTGGGAGATTATGTGGAGCAAGATGCAACTCATTCACACATATTGTGGTCATGCCCAGAAATACACCAATACTGGAAATCTATACATATAACTCTTAATAATTTAGTAAATGTGAATATACCATTTGAATTTCCTGTTATATACTTGGGAAATGTTGACTTTCATGATATTGAAGTAAAGGATAGATATATACTATCCTTTACTTTTAGCAGATAGTAAAAAAGCAATAACATGAATATGGCTTATAAAAGAACCTCCAGCACGTGCACAATGGGTTAATGTTGTGGATGAGATCTATATAATGGAAAAAATACATTTTTCTCTCAGATTGCAGGCAGAGAGGTTTAGTAAATACTGGGAAACATGGATTAAATTTATCTCCCTACAGGGACCTGATTCTAGTTTACGAGAAAATGTGCAGTGATACCTATGTGGGGATTTTTCTGTTGTTGGTTGTGTTTCTTATCAAATTTTTTTTTTTTTTGTATGGCCCTCCATACCTGCTGGCGTTGTGTAAACAGTTCATTTCATGTATACAATGTAACAGAAATGTAAGATGAAGGCAAATGTCTATGCTGTTTTTTTTTGGTTATGTTCTATTTGTAAACCCTTTCATCGCTAGATAAAAAGTTTGGAAAAAGAAAGAAAGAAATTCGGTGGCACCCACATGTGCTGACCAGGATTGAGGGAGCGGCGATCCACCTCCAGGTCAAATTCGGTCTGGACGTCGCTCAGAGACCTGTCGTCCCCGAAGCCACCCCACTCCATATTTATGCACATGTGGCCATCCTCTCCCTCCACCCTCTTCACGTTCTTCATGTCCTCCATGTAGCACGCGTTCGTCCCGGTTCCTGCAACAGCGGCAGAAACGCTTTACCCGGTGTGATCCAGCTCTCCGCCTCGCTGCGGCGGGAATCTCGCTTCGCCGCGTCTCACCGACGATCATGCCGATCTCGCAGCTCTGGTCTCGGTACCCGCAGCTCATCATCGTCCCCACCGTGTCGTTGACCATGGCCACCGAACCGATGTCGTAATCCTGGCGGGAGAGCAGACGGCCGAGAAGCAGGGGCCGCGTCACAGTGAGCCTCCCCCACGCCGGCCCTCGCTGTCCCACTGTAACCCCCCGTGAAACAGAACCCCATTCCGACCAGCATGAAGGGGACAGGACTCTGAGACACGTCCAGCTCAAGCAGTCTTTCTTCCCTCCGGTGGCCCAACACAGTGGGCTCCTGATCCTGTCAGGCCCAGTGAGCCTAGAGGCAGGTCATGCGAGTGCCCAGTGAGAGCAAGCACAGCCACGGGGGGTTCAGCAAGGCTCATGCATTTTCACCTGGACGGCTAAAAGACCGAGCTGTGCTTTCACGCTCCGAAGAGACTTAAGACAATTATATTTAAGTTAAAAAACAAATACAACATCTTTTTTTGGTACCTTAATGGTCTCCTGCTACATGTGCAGGCTTTAAAAGTCAGCAAAAGCTTCCAGGCTCTCCGATCGTATGTCAGAAATAAAATATGCCATCGTCCCCGTCGTCTAAGACACAGGAAGTTACTGTAGGTACAGCTCGTAGCTCTGAGCAGCTCAGAGCAGCCCGAGATCTTCTCACTCACCCCCCGCCTGTGGATGGCGTCTTTGAGCAGTTTGGCCACATCCTGTCCCTCTACTCCTGAGCATTTGAAGCCCTTGGTCCAGCAAATCAAATAACTCTGCAACAGCAGAGGGAGAGAGACCTTTGAGAGGCTGTTTGAGGACACAGGGCAGGTCAGAGATGAGAGGAGCCACTCAGCTCATCTAGATCATTTGGTTCCAGATCAGAGGTTCTCATCCAGCTGCTTCTTGAAAGAAATGAGGGTATTAAACATCAACAGCAGGGCTCATTCTAGAAACCCACAAGCCTTATTGAACCGATGAAAAACACTTTTGAATGCAAGGCTAACTGTTCAAAACAAAATAAAAAAAAGGAATATTTAAATATATCATAATAATGTTCAATTTAGCAACAGTGTAATTTAGCCCTATGTATTAAAATCTTTCCACGTACGAGCTAGTTTCAACTTTAAATCCCTACTAAAAATTCCTCATAAAACTGTCTACAACAGCACACAGGGGAGCAATATAAAGTCAAGAAAGCAGAAACATATTTCAGACTACAATGCAATACCTACAGACGCACAAGTTTGTATTAAAAATATTTTCTTAATAAAGCTTATTGTACACTGGTCACATGCATTACAATAATAATTAATTGTTTATACAGCTGTTTTCTGGACACTCCACTCAAAGCGCTTTACAGGTAATGGGGATTCCCTCCACCACCACCAATGTGCAGCCCCACCTGGATGATGCGACGGCAGCCATAGTGCGCCAGAACGCTCCCCACACACCAGCTATCAGTGGGGAGGAGAGCAGAGTAATGAAGCCACTTCAGAGGACCTCGGTTTTACGTCTCACCCGAAGGAACAGCGCCTGTTTACAGTACAGTGTCCCCGTCACTATACTATATAGTGTCCCCGTCACTATACTGGGGCATTAGGACCCACATAGACTGCAGGGTGAGCGCCCCCTGCTGGCACCACTAACACCTCTTCCAGCAGCAACCTTAGTCTTTCCCAGGAGTCTCCCATCCAGGTACTGACCGGGTTCCCACCTCCAGTGGGCTTGCAGTGGTGAGTTGCAGGGTGATATGGCTGCTGGCCATAATATTGATGTTTGACCATCCAGCTTAAAACCAAACCAAACTTTTCCGGTCAAAGGGCTCGTCCTCCACTGCTGCCTGCTGCCTGTAGAGGGACCCACCTTGTCAATTCCTTTCTGCGTGCAGGGGAAGGAGAAGGTGAAGCCCAGTGGCAGGACCTGGTGCTTGATGCCCTGAGACTCGAGGAAGTCCGCCAGGCAGGCCGCGATGTGGTCGAACAGCTGTGCGGTTCCGTTCGAGAAACACAGGGCAGTTCTGTCAGGCCTCCATAGCGGAAATACAGCTTACAGCGACAAAACAACACTGACCCGGGAGAGATGTGTGTGTGTGTGGAGGAATGTGTTTAGTGCGCTTTACCCTGCTGGAAGATTAAGAAACCATCTTGAAATTGAAAGCAATATTTTCTATTGGATTAAAAGAGATGGGTTTTACAAGCCTGCTTGTTTACAACATCATAGGTCCGCATACGTCACTGGAAGTTATGCCGCCTCGCTCTGAATTACAGAACATGGCGCTGCGCAAACCTGGAAATGTAGTCTATTTGGTCCTGAAAAATTGAGGTTTTACACATTACTGTGCACATTTTATTGTTACTGCGGTTTGAAATGCGCTCATCAATGCTGATTCTTTCTAACCCCCAAAATATGAAAATAGCGTTGCAGTTCCCCTTTAAATGGGTTAAGCAGCTAGAAAGAAATAAAGAAAGACAACACAGCATTGGGAATGTCTGCTGCGCGGCTGTGACTGGTTATATGCGAGAGTGGACGAGGGTGAAATTCCAGTGGATTTCAGGACAGGCGCTGAAGAACACTGCCTCCTGCTGCTGGAGAGAGGGCTCTAGCGTTCATTCCGGACTCTGTACAACACCACGGTTTTACACAGCCAGACACAGAGCCTGCTCCAGACCTGGAGTCACAGCACACAGGGGACCCTGGGCTGAAGACAACTGACCTGTGTGCCTGTGCCCAGCATGATCTCCTGAGGTACAGGACACGTCTGGCTTTCCATCTTCACCACTTTCTTCATGGTCTCCTCCACTCGGACGTGCAGGACTCGGAAGTTGGTCCCTCCCAAATCCAGCGCGAGGAAGTCACCCGACTCTGTGGAAACAGGAGAGGCCCGCTGGGTCAGTGAGGGCGCGCACACAAACTCATGGAGGTCAGGACTGTTAGCCCTGTGAATGTGTGAAACCCTGGCTGTCAATGCTAATTGCTGTCCCATGTTCATTGAGCACCCATGAAGGAGGGCCTCAGGGTGGAGGTTCTTGTCTAAAACCACATTCCCCAGAAGGCAGTTGGGAATGACCTGCCATCCTCAGTCACCTGAGCAATCGATGGAAGACAACTGGTCAGGTGACAGACAAAACCAGGAAGTGGAGACTTCCAACATGGCCAAACCGGGATGAGCAAAGGAAGATTCTCTTTGTGCAGAAGAGTGGGGCAGAAGGAAGCAACGGACTGTTGGAACAGTATCAGAGAGAGACTTCATCCGTGGAAGACTTTTCAGTTGAAAAAAAAGATTTTTGGAGCTAGTCCGTAGAAGAAGTTAGTAGCTCCAAGAGAAGAAACCTCGGCTTTCATTTATTTGTGAAATTTGGTTCATGAAGAACCACGCTCAGTCGCTCAGGCCTGTGAGCCGGGCCCCGCGCTGTGAGAGAGCACATTCACCGACTGAAGCACCTCACAGCCGCCCATCGCCATCTCCAGATAAAACCTCCAGACCCCCCGAGTCACTGCTGTCCCAGCTGAAACCCCGGCTGTATCTCTATGCACCTGTTCCGTCTGGAGTGGACCTCACGAACGTGGGCAGCATCTTGACTGGGGCTCCGCGGTGGCTGTGCTTGTCCAGGCCCTTCTCCATGTCCCTGAGCAGCCGGCTGGAGATGTCCCGCAGCTTCTCCCAGGAGAGTCTGAAGGGCTGCAGCCATTCCTCGACCTGCAGGGGACTTTCTGGATCAGGACAAGCGTCCAGTATAGCAGGACAACATCTGCGATACAGGTGAACCAGACTGGCTCGACTCTCCGTGATCTCTACCGAGGCTATCATTTCACAGACGTGACTCTGACAGTCTTCAGATTGAAGGCTGGATTGTTAGGATCTGATGAAGTGATGCAGCAGCAAAGATTTTCAGTGCAAAGTCAGGATCTTATCAACCTTCAAAAGAAGCAGAAGAAACAAGACAAAGCTGTGCTCAAACTAGGAAAACGAAATTCTATTCTTCCCTGTACTTTAGAGCACACGTGCTGGAGAAGAAGATTTGTCCAGCTTAGTGGGGAGGAGGTGAAAGTGAGTTGGGATTCTTTTAATCGCACTCCACAGAGTGGTCTCACACCAAAGTCATATTCAGAAACACTGCTGTGCAGTTTGACAGGGCAGCTCTCTTGCACGTACAGAAACGTGTAATTTTTTTCTTAATTATTAACATTTTATCTGGCTGAGGCTTTTATCCAAAGTAACAAAAATCATCATCCATCTATATATTATCATGCAGCAGCATCTCACCTTCCCGAGACTAATGCAGAGCCCTGACCACTGCTCCACACAGCTACCCAACCCCTTCAACACCACAAGCCCCAGACACAACCACATAACACCACAAAGCTACTCACAGAGTCTGTGACTTGCACTTCTCCTACGGCTGTTTATTGCTACAATATGCTTTCACGTTTCTGAGTCTTAGCACATGAACTGAGATTCACATGATGTCAGATTCTCAGTGCCCTTCTGTGCCCAGTCACAGCCCCAACCACAGCAGCGGAACAGAGATACAGCACCAGTGTGTGCAGCTCTCATGTGGTCAGAATGGCCTAGAAACATGACCTCAGCTCTTTCGGCAGCGACACAGGCATCAGGCACAGGAATGAAGCTTAGAAAACTAACCTGTGCTTCTGCCTCACAAACACCACATTATACCCCAGTGACAGCTTCTTCTTAGCCAGGCTGTGCAGTATTGGTATCGTGTGTCAGTCGAACAACAAAAAAAACAGGTGAACTGTTTAAAAACAGTTACAGGCCTTTATTCATGGATGTTGTGTATACAGTTGTACTAAAAGTCATTTTTAAACAAACTTTTGGATACTATTAATTACTTTCTTGCTAATTGGAAGGGAAGATTGTTGTCAGCAGTGGGCAGTGCGTCAGAGACACGTCTTCACTCCTTTACAGTACCTGTCAGTGAGCCCTTAATATTAATTTAATGATGCCATTTATATTTAAGTCTTACATTCCAAATCATTTTGGTAAGGATTATTATTATTATTATTATTATTATTATTATTATTATTATTATTATTATCCAGTGTTTCTGTTTGCAATCTTTCTTATCATCTTGCCTGTCTCAATACTTACCCATGATTTATCTCTTGCACTGTGCTGTGGCTGCATTGTGAGGGTATGGAGACTGCCTGCAAAGGTCACCTCGTTTTTAAACTGTACTTCATCTTGCTCTTTAACCCTGAAATTGTTGTTTCTTTTCACCTTCTTTCTGCCCCCTTCTTCTCTTTGTTTTCAGAACGTTTTAACAGGCCTAAGAAAGCACGAACACACTGCCGCACAGGCTGACCAAAGAACTGAAACTACAGAACAACTGAAAACGATCCCCTCTAGCTGTACTGGTTTTCAGAACAAAGCAGTTAAACCTGTCCTGGACAGACCACGCTTGTCCAGCAGGTGGCGCTCTCACACAAGTGATTATAGTTTCCTGATAAGCCCGTCATAAAGTACATCCTAGGACAGATAAACCCAGAATCCGAAACGGTCCCTTTCTACACTACTCTATATATACTGTATCTGAGCTCCATACAGTTATATATTCCATGAGATATCGTATGCTCACACTGAATAAAAAACAATAAAAAACCTCTTCACTACAACAAATAATTTGTTATTTATAAAACTAAATCTAAAATTCTAAAAAAATCTTTAAAGCACACCAGTATAAGTACATCAGGAAACATCACAATCAATGTGTTTATATCAGTACAACACATCAAATCATGGCACTAACCTTGTTTTTCCTGTAGTACCAAAATAGCAAAAAGGGGTTTGAATATAAATAAAAAGCAATTCCTTACGTATCCGCAGTCCACTAATTACTGCTAAGAGCTGTCAGGGACCTGCAGGAGAACAGGCTGCGCAGCTCAGCTGTTAAGGTGAGTTAGTTGCCAGAAAAGGTCTGTAATTGAAACTCTGTTTCAGCTTCAGCTCTTCAACCTGTTGCACAGGGAATTTACAGTAGCAGCTATTCTGTCAGTTCAGCATAGCCAGCCTTTCTGATAAATGCAACTGGCTAAAATAATTTCCATCTTTTTCATTAGAGTGCTGGTGAAATTTGGCCTGAGCTTCCCCCCCGAGTCCACTCACCAGTGGGTGTCCACTCAGGAGCTACCGTCTTTGCCCTCAGCATTTATTTACCACAACACTGCTGAAATCTCAAATCAGAAAACGTCTAGCTCAAATCTGATCGAGATAAGAGAGCAGACTTTCTTTCGGCTCACCTGGGAAACATACAGTAGGTGTTTCCTAGGTGAGTAAGGAGATATCCTCCCCAGGTTGATCTTGTGAAAATCAGAAACGTGTTTCCAGAGAGCAGGGAGTGGATTACAGCTGGCTGTCAGAGGTCTCAGTGCCAGCTCTCCTCCCCAGAGGGCTCTGCTCGGTGGCTGGGAGCTCCTGCATGTGCCTGCCCTGCTCAGCCCAGCTCATTAATGGGGAGGCCGATCATTCTGTCTTACTCATCTGTGGCTGAAGCATCTCACTCCAGTACTTCAACTGCTATAAGGTGTCTTGGGCGTTGGGAAGGGGTTGAATTTAGTCCAGGCTTTTGTACAGTAAACACAGGAATCCCTTTCTTAACAGCATATCAGCCACTACCCTGAATGTGTTCTGTTTTGCACACAGAGAAAGGCACTATATACCTTTGGTTCTCATTATTACTGTAACGAACGACGTCTAAAGTGAATGAATCGTGCAGAACGACAGAGCGACAGGATGACTCTCAGAGCTTGTTCCAGCTCTTTCAGCTCACACCTGCCCCTGCTCTGCCCCTCGCCCCCGCGCTCTGTGAGCTGGACTCAGGGCTGCCCTGTCCTGCACTTTACTGAGGGAGGCGGAAGGGGGTCTCACGCGAGCCGGGACGTCCTGGCGGAGACTGGGAATCTTCACCGGGGCAGCGCCTGTGTCTCCATGGCTGTCCGTGCTGCTCATTGGGAGGTCAGGGTACGGGCCTGGGAGAGAAGGACAGCACAGCATTTAGACTGGATAGACCCCACGCGTCCGGCTGATTGTGTCCTACATGCGACATACCCCCATGTCCTCACTCTCACCCTCACTCTCTCACCCCCATGTCCTCACTCTCTCACCCCTATGCCTCATGGGGAGGGATTAAGTACCTGTAAACTTCACGAATTTCAGTCTATAGACCCTGCAGTCTCTCTCTCTCTGCCTGGCACTGTAGACACTGTCATGACCTGCGCGGTCCTGACATCGAGCTACACCACTACCAATCAGGTCCTGGACTTCAAAAATAACACCTTGAATGACAGATACAAAAACCCTGTCTCTTAACTGAGTTATTCATTTCGATGCGTTCTGCTAACTTGTGCAACACCCTTACACCGAAGGAGTAACAGTAACAATAATGAGTATCTGAAATGTGAAATGTTAGGAGTGAGGATCTGGGTCAGCAAATTCGAAATGTTTTTGCAACCTGCCATTCACCACAGGCATCCAAAGGAACCAAGTTTGACATCCACAGTCGAAAGTCAAGGGCCTATATCACGCAGACTGATAAAGCTAGGTTAATTTACTGTAAAAGAACTCTTCCCACGTCCCGGCACCCTGGTGAGATCAGAGGACACACACTGAGCATGACAGGTGATGGTGGCCGGTAGGTAAGTAGTGAAGAAGACAGCATCACGGTGCCTTGAATTACGCTCTTTCTTCCCCTGCGTGCGCTTGACGAAAACATGTCGCAATTTGAAAAGTAAACGTATTTGTTGTGTTTGGCCAATACTGTATGTTGTTTTATTTCAACGCAATAAATAGGCACTAGTCTTCAGCCCCAGGTCTGTGGGTTTTACACTCTTAAATATATTAATATTTAATAAGTAATAAGTATATATATATATCTAAATAAGTAAATATTTTGAGCACTATCATGCCCCGTGTTAAAATATGAATTACAGTAAGTATGGATGCTTTCCACAGAGGACTCGCTGATTAATTGAGTGCAACGTTTACTCTGCTTCAGATTCACAAACGTGATCGCGCTGTATTCCTCGACCTGCAATGAGGAGCAAATCTATATGCGCTTCAGAATTAAAGTATACGGTGAACTGTGCGCAATGGGACGATTCATCACAACAGAAAAATAAACTATTAAAAAGCAGCTGGTACATTTTCTAGAAGAATCACACTTTTCGCCAGACGCAATAGTCCTTTTAATACCTCAATTGATAAACAAGTTGGACCACAGTATCCTGAACGGTTGTTTTTTAATGTTTAAAACTTTAACATTAAATTTAAGCAAGCGTGCTGTTTTGCCAGAAAAAAATAATTGGGATAATATTAGATGATTAACCGTTAACGTCCTTGTACATTTTTTTCTTAAATTTGGATTGCATTAAAACTGGACAGTAGCTAATAACTAATGCTCAGCGCTAACGGGCTTCTTCAAAAGTGCTCCTAAAACATGTTACCAGTCCCCCAAAACACAAAATAAAAACGTTTAAGCTGACTTTCTAAACATTACTATCCAAAAGGCATAAGATATAAGGTTTTACCTTCAAACCACAGGAACGTTTTCCTTCTGTATGTCTTGGGTGACTGGGACTGTCTGAAGTTCAAGTTCCTGGTATTAAAATCATTCCACTTGTTACTACAGTATACCCCGCAATATTCGGACACACCCCGGAGACATTACACACTGTTAAGGTATGGACACTTACAAGAGACTTTTGCTTAAAAAAACTTTGATTAAACCGCCTTTTCGCTTTGTCATAATTACGAAACTCCCGTCATCCATTCTTACAAATGTTGATTGCATTCTGATGTTACCCAAGAACGATTCTTAATAAACTGATGGGTGGCAGGGTACAGCTACGATGGTTACGACTTTGTGCAATTGTTAAGAGACAATTTTGTGAACATCATGTTAGGGTGCATTGCCTTCAATCTAAATATCTTCTGAAACTCTTATTGCATACCTATTACATACTTGCACGCTAGTCTTGGGGATCTACTAATGAAATGTGCTGCACACGCGAATTTCCATGTTTATGCATTCATAAAAAATATATATTAGTATGCACCATGTAAATTCAACAGCGATATGAATTCGTTTCCGTTCTTCCGTTGCTATGAAAGCACATGGACTGTATACAGTACATGCCATTAACTTCGTGCTGTAGACAAGCATGTGCGAGCGCACTTCGGAAATGCATGGCCGTTTGACTTAAGTGGCACAAGCGTCATGACCATTCCAGTCTGGGCAACACAGGCGAGAACCGCTGCACAAAACTGGCGCCATCAAAAGCAAACCTATTTCAATATGCGTATTTTAACAGTACTCATCCCATAAAATCCAGCTAGAAAAAAGTTTTGAAAAAACAGTATGAAAAAATGCTTTTTTAAAAAAAAATATGTCTGTGAGAACTGTGTTACTGAGTGAAAAATAGGTAGCCATATCGGACCACATACAACCACAGAGCAATCTGGTGCTACAGGTACAGTTTGATGCAGAAGGCCCTGATGATGGCTTCTGTGCTGTGCCTCGGTAGCAGCAATGAGCAACCCCTGTCTGTGGGCTTTTTTCAAGAAATGTTTCCTTCTGGAATTGTGTTTGACCAAGGCCAACAAAACTGGAGTTAGTCTGTGATTAAACTTCTACTAAGCACTCTTATTTTGATGCCTTAAAATAAATAATTTCCTTACTTCAACAACCTGTACACAAAGTAGCAGTTTTGAGACTTGCACACTTAAAGGCTGTCAGAGCACTGCAAGACCATGTGGGGAAAAACAGCTGGAATGTGCGGGTAGCTGGAGAGATGAGTGCTGTTGAGTTCCATTTTATTTCAAACAGCTTCATCAATGTAAAAATAAACTTAAAATAGAAATGGGACTGTTCAGGAAAAAATGAAGTGTGCTTTTGTGATCTCGTTTCTTCGGAAGCTGAGAAGCAGGAGATGTCATGTACTTGGGTCAACAATTCTAAGAAATAAAGCTGTGCTGATGCACATCCTGGAATACTGGCAGAACTGAGTGGCATTTCTTGACTTGGAGAACTACTGTAGTTCAGGCAAAAATCAGTAAGGCAGGTCATCCATCTTGCATTAAAGCAGTTCATATTCTTTCTTAAGTCTTTTGTTACCAAACCAAGTAGGGCGATTTTTCATATAGTACTGTGTTTTCAAAACCATGTCTCTTGTAAGGTTGGTCTTGGGCAGGCTGGGAATTCAGAAAAGGTCTCTATGTGTGAGATTGGGTTATGAATTCACTTAAAAATAAATAAAACATCCAGGGCTTTCACATAAAAAATAACATTACGGCCAGGATCTCAGAACCTGAGAATTCACCGTTACAACAAACCTACCACAGAGACATCACTCTCACTTGAAAAAGATAAAAAAAAGAAATTTAATATAAAACTAATATTAACTGGGAACAGTTTACAAAAAAAAAGATTCAGGTGTAAGAACACAGTAAAAACTTCCAAATTCTGCAACAGGCAGTTTAGACACATGAAAATCTATCTCTTCAGCCTCCTTCTCTTCCCAGCCCTCTGGCCCGTCCTGGAGGCAAACTGCTGTTTGAAGTCCACAAGGCAGTCCTTGGCCTCGGAGATGGGGGTGAAGGCTCTAACTGGGGAGTCGCTCGGCACCTGGTCCTCTCCCGCAGCGTCATCCTCGTGGTCCAGGAGGGAGACCGGCTCGCTGGAATAAACCAGACCCGTGTCGAACGCTGAGCCTTGCAAGGCACCGTCTTAACAAGAAGGAAACATCCGAGCAGAATACCGGGAACAGAACTGATCACTTGCTTCTAGCGAGTGAAAGTCACACAAATCAGAAAGCCCCATTACTGACTGGCTTCCCGGAATAGGTGAGAAAACCAACCGCATGTTTCACCGGACTTTAATTTAATGAGCTGGACATAACTTCATAGTCACTGCATATTTCGTCCAAACACTGGGCTATGCACCCCTACTCTTTTACTGTAGATCTCAACAGGGATCTTTAATGACCACAAACAGTCAGGACCTTTGCTTCATGTCTCAAAGGGCAGCACGTCTTGCTCTGTCCCCTGGTAGCACACTGCGGAATTGGGTTGCAATTCTGGTCCAGAAGGGAGACACTACTTGTCTCCACCTGACTACCACCTCAGGCAGCAACCCGACTTTTCTTGCGGGTTTCTCACTCAAGTACGGACTTACCATGGATATTTCCTGCGATCTTATCTGATCGGGCTTCAAGGGAGGCAACGTGAGGCACCACGTTATTGAAAATAAACATCATATCCATGACTCAGCTTACCTGTATTTTCTGTGCTTGAGTGATGAATGATAAGATTCAGCTTCTGTATTTCAAGGAGAGAAAAAAAAAATTGAATCCAACATGTCCACTGTCACCTAATTAGTTCTTTACGAATATGGATGCGTAATGCACCGTGTTGGAGAATCTTCCAAGCCTTTTCCTTGATAGAACATTTAATGGAAACGGGGACTTAGGTGATGTTCACGTGTATATTCACATTCCTTTGAGTTTGGAGCCGTGATACTCTGAAATTTCTGATTTTAATAAAAGGCCAATTGTGTTAATTATTACCTTTAATGCATAACTGCATTTATTTCATTTTTAAGCTTCAAATGGTTTATATTATATATACTTTATTCTAATTTAATTTTAGAGCAAAGATTCATCATTCTTTAGCACCGCCTTTATAGAACTATGGCTACAGTATATACTGACTTATAGCCATGTACACATTAAAATATTCAATAATGCTGCTATAGTAGGTTTAGTAGTTTCATGCAAATTTTCAGAGCAGCAGAACAGTTCTTCTATGCAACAGAATTGCAAAACCTGCTTATTACTTTAAGAATGATGAAAGAGGACAAAAGGGTCTCTTTGTCAAATAAGAAACAGGAAGGAAGTGTAAGAGGAAAGCATTGGCACACAGAGAGCTTTACGCGAAAGTACCACTGTTACTGCAGCTCACTTTTTACAATCTTGAAATGACATTATATATAAGAAAAGCCCATGACTGATTAAAAAAATAAATCTACCAAATAATGCATAATCACAGTCACGGTAGTGCATTTGTTATAGTCTGGCATTCGTTTTAAATTTTCTACGTTTAGACATGGTGCAGTGTCGAGTGTGATCATGTTAGAAGAGAAGCACACAAGCGGTCTCATTTCAGACTGTCTACTTTGCGTTCTGAATGAAGGCAATGGTTTTAGCAGGCCGTTTCCTGCAAGCAGGAAAGAACAGGAAAAAACCCTCCTGCAGGCTTACCGATATTCTTCTGTTCGGACTGCTCCAAAGCAGTGAGGAAATCCTCTCGTCCCTGTACCAGAAAACAGGTCATTCAATACTTCAGTAAGGGTACTCTAGCTCTTCCTTAGTCATCCATTTACAAAAACACTAGCCTATCAGTGCATCAGATAAAGCTTACCGCCTAGCTTGAAATTGGTAAGGGAATAATATTTTATCATATTATTATCATATTAATCTTTACAGGGCAAGCTGCAGGTTTGTCAAGAATATAGCATTATTCATCACTCAGTGATGGTTGCTGCAACCATTTTGGTGGTGTTAGGCCTTTAGCTCATCTTTGCAGAGCTCAAAAGGTCACAAGACCTACAGTCCACAAAATTAGCTTTCAAGAGAGCAACAACAGAGATGTTACTGTCTTAATTGCCTGGAGACAACAACGCAAGCATGTTAAACAGGTGCAACAACATGTTCCAATATATTAACTGACAGTTCTTACACCCTTCAAAGATCTGTGCACCAGTGCAAAATTTGTCCCACTTTTTTCTTGCTCCTATTAGGCACGCAAGCATAACTGTCCGCATGAAAACAATAAATGTTCACTTCCCCTTTAATTTTCATACCTACAGTAACAAGCTTCTTTCTGAAGTTGCACAAGTTGCATGGTGGAGAGTGGAGGGGTGGAGGGGTTTGCTCTCGAGCAGAAAGTTCCAAAAACGGCTTCCCGTTTGTCTTAGTCATCCTCGATTGAATTTCAACTGAATTTCCTCTGTATTGGAGGACAGACTAGTCATCGCATCACAGGGTGCTGAGTGGCTCTGCAGTATCAACGGCTTAGGCTCATTTCATGCCACGTGTCACAAATAACAATAAGACGTCCTTGCATTTTGGATAGCGCTTTCCAGCCCGAATGATCCGAACGCCCGTTACAAATAGGAGGCGAATACTTTCATCCCCCACTGGTGTGACACACTGCAGCCTTACTGCACAGCACAGCAGGGGGAGGAGTGAGAGGTTGCTTCACCAGTTAAGAGGGAACACCGGGGAGACCAGAATGTACGAGCCCACAGTGGAATTCAGGCCGGACACCTGGATTAACACCCCTATCCCTTACGAACGGTGTCGTCAGGACCTCAGTTTATTGTTGCAATGGAAGGCAAGACCTTCGCAAGCCTTCGGTCATCTTGGTACACAACTGGCTTGCAGGCGACAGCTGAAGGTTGAATTGGCCATTCAATAACATCGAAACAAAACCGCCAGGATGAGCACCTACAAGACAAACAATGTACCTCATCTGCTCTTCGGCGGATGCAGGACTCCGTGTGCCTCTCAAAATCACCAACAGGGACATAGCCTCTGCAGATGTAGCACTTTTCCCGTGAAGTCGACCTGCACAGCGAAGAGCAGGGGCATGAGAGCAAACAGAGATGTAACCTGTATGCAGGAACCTCTTTTCAAACACCACATTTGTTAGTTAGGCACTTAATTGTAATGGTATACCTCTTCAGTAGTACCACACTTAGGTTTTCAAGACTTAATTATGGGTGCTTAACATTTTATTAAGTTTAAGCAAAGAAAAACAGAATGAATACTCGGACTCTATAATGCAGTCCTTTACAAATTCTAGCTTGCAAGTTATACATTTAAATCTGCCATACTTACTTGCAAAAGGCTGAGGAAGTGGGTTCATTCTCATCAATGACTTGTGCTTTCCTACTACTTCTTCTTCGGGCACAACCTGAAAATATATCACACACGGCTGAAGTGCACATTTGCACGAAGCATTGTCAGACTGCTTGGCACCTGCACCTGTTATCCTCTAAGCTGCGGTCTGATTTACAGCTCAAAAGATATTCCAGTCATTTACTCATCAGACAACCCCACCACCTCAGAAGTAAAGGTTTTATATTTCAGTAGTTTTGCTGTCATCTCTCATGATGTTTGGAGTGTATTGTATAATTTGCTGTTAATAACACTGTAGGTAGGGGTCCCGATCTTTCATGTGATCACAGATTTTAAGGACAGGGAGCATTAACTACTACACTCACCTCCCAGCACCACTAAGCATTTAAGGAAAACTCAAGGCGCATTATTTCAAGGGGATTGTCCCCAGGAAGCCTGCTCCTACATTTCATGTGCATCTTTCTGCAAGCATTTCACAACACGATTGCAGATGTAGCCTTTTTCCCGTGAAGTCGACCTGCACAGCGAAGAGCAGGGGTATGAAAGCAAACAGAGAAGTAACCTGTATAAGCCATAGCTTATAAACATATATACTGTATAGCTGAACCCTGGCACACCTGTTATGATGGCAATTATACCACATACATCATACAACTGACCAGCAAAATAGACACTTTCAATTTCTCTGCACACTGCACTTTGGGGATATTGTAACTTGAGGAAACAGATACTGGGGTTTGCGCAAACGAATAACAACAGCATTATTCACTTGATATTAAAAAAAAGCAGAAGCAAATCAAATCGACAAAAAACACAGGAAGAGACCTCATGTATTGCACTTCATGTTAAAAGTTAGACAAAAGGCCAAGCCGAGCTCTCTGCAGCTAAATACTTTGCCAGGCTTAACCCTGTGCAATGAGCTCCCCACTGCCCTGCAATTCACCTACCATTACTCCATCGGGCACTAGAGTTTCAAGCAATCCTGTTCCCCCCAGGACCAGTCGACTGCCCTTGGCATCCTTAAGACAACCAGTTTTGTCGCAAATATAAATACAGTATCTAAGAAAAAAACATCTCTGCAACTATAGTGCATTCTGCATTTCACAATACGTCTGCTGCTCACATTTCTAGGACATCAATACTACTTTTTAAAGGCACCATGCAGATATCCACACGGGACTGAGGAAAGGCCACTCAGAATCAAAACGGCAGATGACCAGCCAGCTGACCGGCACCAGACGACAACGAGAGTTGGGAGAATGAATGGAAATGTAAGCATCAGTCACCAGCTGCCACTAGGTGTGATGATGTTCAAGTCAAGTCCCAAACCACTGACGAGCTACCCTTCTCTAATAAGCTCTTGTGGTGTGGTATAGTATGGTCTCATCTAGGAGCTGCTGGAGGACCTTTGCCCTTTTAAACTGCTCACCAATCAGGCAGTAAGAGGCTCTCGGATCAAATCTGGTTGCATCCCTTCGAACACAAGGCTTAAAATCTGCGTTGGCTGAACTATCAACCACAACCACGTCCAGACAGCTTCAGCACCTGTCTTCTCAAGCGGCACCCTCCTGGCATTGCGCAAGTGTGAAGAGCTGCAGTGGATAGCTACTGCAATGGTCAGCGACATACCAGTGATGAGACTGGCGAGACAGTGTCATCACAGCGTGCGCTGTGGCAAAACAAGGAACGGGTCAGCATTCTTCTCTCCCTGCAAGAAAATCTGCTATGCAGGCTCAGTACCTCAACAGGCATCCACCTCGCATCGTGATCATGCTTCACGGCAGGAGTTAGCCTTCAGGGCATATTACCTTGTCCACTATACAGCTTGTGATTCAGCCAGTCAAACATGCATTCTTTTTCTGTATTTCAGTACAGTTACATTTAAACACTGATTACTGAATAAAGCGCCAAACAGATCTTACCACCCAAATACCCAGCGATTTCAGACACCTTCTCTCCTGCTTTGCCTTTCAAGACGTACTGCTTGGATTAAAGTGTGCAATAATTTCAGTGAACAAGACCTTAACCAGAAGATTCCCACACATTATCCAAGTCCTCCGGGTACACTGTCCCTGGCTCTTATATAGAGCAGTGACTTACTGAAGAACTAGGTCTTTGACTACCTCTGTCAGTCTTGCAAATGAATACAAAGGATTTTTCTTCAGACATGTTTCCCCATTTTAGCCATAGGTGTAAGAAAAGATTCTGTATGTGCTGCTGTGTAGGTTACCAGTCATGACATGGGGACAGTTGGGACCAAAGTACTGCTAGTACATACAAAGACGCAAAAGCTGCTGGCCCTGTTCCTACTGTATTTACGAAACTTTGTGAATGAATGACTCTAAACTCGAAAACACGCAGGAATGGCCCTCATCTGGGGCAAAATAAAAAGAACTAGAACCAAGATGAACGTTTATTGCTAAACACAATAAATACACAGACATCAGGTTGATCGGTCCAGGGTAGGTGCTCTGCTGCTCCTGCAAGGTGCACGTGCGTCCTGCTAGACCGAACCAGCAGGAAAGTTCCCAGCCCTTCATGACTAGTTTTGAGTCTCCCCTGGCTCCGCTCAGCGCGGGTTCAGAGGTCAGCGGAGTTCGGCCACGAACGACCCATCTCACCCTGCGAGGCTGCCTCCTCCAGAAGCTCCTCCTCCCGGGGCCCGTCGCAGTAGGCAGCATGCACCTCAATGCGCAGGAGAGGGAAGCTCTGCATGCAGATGGGGCACTGCACGTGCTTGGCCGGTGTATCTTTCTCCGTTACCCCCTCGACAGCGGCAGCACTACCCTCCTCCTCCTCCTCCTCCTCCACCACCACCACGACAGGCTGAGGCTGAATGAAGAGGAAGCAGCAGGATAAGACAGGTGTAGGACTGTGTCCAGTGAAGTAAGCCGTTCGCTGAGCTAGTTCAGGAGCTTTTCATACCAATGTAGTTTGAGGCACACAAATGAGACGCAATAATACACATCAGATGGCACTATCAACGCGGGTTTGCAGAGTGTTCAGAAGGCATAAAAACCCCAGCACAATTAATAATACTAAATAATATAATAATAATACCCTTACAGTTACATAACGCTTTTCTGGACAGTTCACTCAAAGCACTTTACGGGAGACTCCCCTCCACCGCCAATGTGTGGCACCACCTGATGATGTGTCAGCAGCCAGACAGTGCCTGTACGCTCGTCACACACCAGCTATCGGCAGGGAGGAGAGCAGAGTGACAAAGCCAGTTCACAGATGGGGATTATGAGGAAGCCATGATTGGCAAACGCCATGGCAGCAACTTGGCTGGGACACTGGGCTAACGGACACTAGTCTTGCCGAGAAACTCCCCTGTAGAAGTGCCCGTACACGGTCACACCCACACACATACCATGTGCATTGCTCCACAGTGCACTGTCAGAGACAGTGTTGTAAGAATAAACCAATAAAACTTCAGAAACACCTGCACAACTGCAACAGTATACCAAGCAAAGGCAAGAAGAGCACAAGCCAGACTATCTTAGCCTCGTAGCTCACGCAAGGCCTGAAGCAGAAACTCAAGGACGAGGCCAGGCGTCTACGCACATTCGTTTTAAACACGGGAGCTTACGTACCGCAAGAGAATTTGAACTCATGTTAAAATGGTAGGGATGTGTATATCAAGCCAAATTCTGTTTATAACAGATCACTTCATATCTTGCATTTCAAAGGGCTGTATAAAGTTTGCAATGCACATGCACATTTATTGATCAGGAAGCTATTTATTCCCCATTAAGGGTCTTGGCAACCAGGAGCCTATTCTGGAAGTACAGGGCTCACGGCGGGACTAACACTATTAATCGGCCAGTCAACAGCAGGGAGACACATCATGGACAACTAGAGGTGAGAAGATTATTACTCAGTTTGCACAAAGAAAATTAGTTGAAGGCTAGGGCATATACATAGGATGACTGATTAAAAGCACTCAACAGTACATATATCTTTAACATATACAAAAGCACTCAGCAGTACATATAACAAATATCTTTGTTTACCATTTCAGCGAGACAGTTTTACAGTCAGATGATTAACATTACCTGGACACTGGCAGGTCTCTCAGAAGACAATTGCTGGGTGCCCTCATCACACAGCTGGGTCTCTAAAAATAACAAAAAGAGTAAAAATCAGATTTCCTCTGTCTATACACACTTGACTCTAAAGTACTTTATGTAATCTGATTAAACCGTAACCTTCTCAAACCACAAAAGAAATAGTTTAAGTATCCATAGGGATCGAACTCTATAAAGCATTTTCAAACTGCTCCAGTGCAATTTACCGGTTTTGCATTTATCTTAGCGAGCGCAGATAGGGCAGCAGAAGATGTGGCACATAAGCTAATCTACACACCTTGCATTGCAGCGCTGGTTAGCCAAACTGGAAGATTAAGCGACTGCTATAAAACACCACCAACACCTGCGATCCCTCAAGGGAACAGCTGAAATCCTTGCATCAGGGAGCAGCAGCCACGACTCACACAAGCAGGCTGGTACTCCGAGCAGTCTTGGCATACCGACAGCACAACCAAGAAACATCACATGACACCTCAAACCAGGAGCACCAGACACCAAACCAGCAGGATTTGGCGGGCAGAGGTCAGGTGCAAATATTTAAAATGGAAACCCGAGTTATTTCAGCAAGAGGGGGTGGGGGGAGAGGGTTCTCATTTCGAGACGAGAGAGATCCATTTAAAAAACAATCAAATCCGATTGGTAAACTCGCAGGTTTGATTCGCAGCACTCTGTGGCTCTAATTACCAGGACAGACGTCGAGCTCTGGCTCCTCTTCGCGCGGCTGGGCTGCCTCAGGTGGGCTGCCCTCCCGCAGGCCACGCCTCCTGTTAAAAGGAAAAGAGCTCAGCACGCTGAACACAAGAGCTGTGATCCCGTTTATACGCATAAGCACTGGGTCGCTCAACTCCAGTCCATCCCCACAGAGTTCCAAGTTTTCTATTAAAACTAATAAACTAGACTATATTACAAGATCAATAGTCCAATATTCTGTAAAAAGTCTTGGATCTTGTGGCATGATGTTCACCTTTAAAGCCACAAGAAATCACAACTACAGAAGCTTTAATGAACGTTTACAACAATACATTCTACTTTTTATTTTTGGTGTTGCAGAAATGTTACAGCACAAATTCAGCTTCCACTCTGTGGTGAGCTGATCTCAGCACTTGGCTTCTCTCACCTCAAAGACAATCGCTTCCTATGGGATCTTTCCGCACTGAACAGCAATGGAGAATCCTATAAAGACAGACAGATTACAAATGATATTGTTTTAATCATTAAGCCCCATTCCCTTTGAAAATAAATCCCCGCACATACAATATTTGTACTAGATTGTAGCCTAATTACATTCCTAATCAGTGAATACTCAGCTCAAGATGCATATTTTGTCATCACAGCTGTGGTCTCTACCGGATTGATTATTTTTAGTTAAGTCCTGTGCACGTATCCAAAGTTGGGTCCAAACTGTATTCTCAATGGGGTGACACCTCATCAGGAAGACCTAATCAGACTTTGCATATGTGTCTCTACTGCATATTACGTACTGCTGTGATTTGTCTTACTCTTTTTCTTCTTAATTTTGCAGTTAACAGATTTGAAAAAAAATCCATCCTGGAACAAACTGCCTAGCCAAGTTGCCAAATATCAGGCGTCACTCAAGACATGACTGAAGATCTTCGATTACGTAAGACACTATTATTGTACATCGAACCACTTTCTAACTGCTTTACCCAATACAGGATGAGCGGCCTTATGGATCGGTATTACAAAGATATTGCTTTTCTACAGGCAGCTTTCTGGCGGTTTGCAGAAAACAACCTGACCAAAAGAAAAGCCACCACGCACCTCTTGCTCCTCCTTCTCCGCATCGTTCATGCCCCCCTCGCCGTCCTGCGGGTCATCTTCCCCCCGTCCAGCGGCTGGGACACCCTGCCGGTCCTCTTCGGGGGCTCCCTCCCCTTCGCCCTCTTCCTCCTCGTCCCCCCAGCCTCTCTCCCCAAGCTCCTGTGTCCCCCGACTCTCGTTCCTTCTCAGCCTCCGGCGTTTCTTGCACGGGGGCTCCTCGGTGGGGGCTGGCAGTACGGGGTCCCCCCACTCTGCCTTGCGCAGCAGCCCCCTCTGCGCCGCCTTCAGACTTCGCTGGTACACGTCCATCTGAGTCAGGATCACCTGCGTGTACTCGTCTGGGTCCAGGCCCCTCGGGCAGAAGGGCACGCCCCAGTAGTAGAGCACAGCTGCCTGGTCTGGCCCCCTCTTCCCCGGTTCTTGCTGCGGACCGTCTCTAAGCGACGAGGCCGGCCCGGAAGGGCTTCCCCCCTTGGCAGCTGGGCTCCCTGCGACGCTGGAGGACTTCTCTATTAAAGCCCCTGGATCTCGGCCTCCAGCTGCTGCTGCGGCGCCGGTTTTTGGGACGAGGAACTTCCCGGGGAGGCAACTTCCTCCGCTCTCTGCCCCCGGCGCAGTGCCTTCTTCCCCTAGGCCTCTCTTGGGAAGCCGAGGGTTCTGCCTGGGGTCAGGAGCTCGAGTCTCCTGGGTTTGCAGCAGGAACCTCGCCTCCCGGAAGCTGCCCACCAGCTCCTGACTCTGCTGACCCTGCTCTTCTTGCTCGAGGACATGATCGGTGGTATGTCCAGACTTACACGGGGCACAAGAGAAGGTCTTCAGCCGGGTCTCGGACTCTGAGGAGCTGGCATCCTCCAATACTGTATTTTTTGGAGTAACTTGAGTCTGGTCCGTCTCGTGCCTCTCCTGGTTTTCCTGAACCAAAGAACCACACATTTATAGTCTCGAACAAGGAAGACTACAGGGAGACCTAATCCATGTGTTCAACAAGAGACCGACAAAGGCAAGGCAGTCTTGAGAATCGACATTGAAACAAGAACCAGGGGGCATAAGTGTAATGGAAGTGCATTTAAAACCAAGGACAGGAGGTGTTTCTTTAGGCAAACGTACAGGAGAGTGCTGAACAAGCAGATATACTGAACACGCCCGACAACCTGGTTTCATTTAAGAAGCATCTGGATCAGATGAATTAGCTACTATCAAACTGGCTTGATGAAACAAAAGGCTTACTTTTAACCATTTTTACACTCCCTAAAACCAATCAAAGACTTCCACTGATAATCAAAACAATTATTGTCATACCACTCATCTATGTAGATTTATGTGAAGAAAAACCTAACAAGCATAAAAGACGTGGCATTCTGAATTTCAACATCTACAGCCTAACACACCTCAGGACTGGAGAGATACACGCTTTAAGTGTTATTATTAATTACACTACTAAAGCAAATCAAAAATACTGAGAGAGAAAACTGAGATACCAGACTGTTCATTAACCTTCTTGGGATCTTCCTCTTCATTCTCGTCTTCTTCCTCAGCCCAGTGCAAGGTCATTTGACTTGGAAACCCATCGTTCAGTTTCACACTACAGGTGGGCAACTCATCCTTGTCTGAAACAACATGCCCGTAGGAGTTTTTATAAGCTTTTATTTGTTCCCAGTGTGCCCTGCCATTTTTAATCAGAACAGAACAGGGTAAAGACATCACTCTTGCACAATGCACAGTGCACAGTCCCTGTATAATGCACAAGACCATAATACTGTATTTGTGCATGGTCCTGCTATATACAGTATACAGTATACTGCTCGCTGTTCCTATATCCTTACACAGCAAGTTATTTTTTATTCTTGCAAAATGGCTTATCTTCATGCTAAACCAACCTTGCACCCTGTGCTTCCAAGATAAGCCTCAGGGTTGTTGTGATCGTCACTAGGAATTAGCGTTGTTCTCCAAATGAATGCATGGATTTCACATACTACGGCTGCTGCTTTCGTTGCACTAGGTTTGCCGTCATTTTACAATGCTACTGCTCGCGCACAGAGTGAAACAATACACAGGGAAACTTACGAGGCGTCTGCAGCCTGCTTTGCTGCTCCCTGCCTCTCTGCTTCAGCTGTCCATCAGCAATTTCCTGAGGTCAGAACCAAAGCAAAACAACAAAAAATAAATACATGCGATACATTCTGGCATTTCATTCATGGTGTTAAAACGATGTAAGAATAAGAAAGAGAACAATCAATTTCTTTGTAAGTTATTGTTTTGTTAGTAATCATATTTCTTCCCCAAAGTTACCTCCCTATATGAGTTTAGACATGGAGTAGCAATATTTATGTCTGCATAAATATGTACAGAGATTGTAAGCACATCATATTCGATGGTGGTTAATTCACATGAAATCTTTAGTTATGCTTGCTAGCATGAATAAGTAATCAATAAACTTATTTATTAGCAAGTATTGCTTTACTAAATACTAAAACTTAAAAGCAGACCTGTTTTGTTGTTACTTTCAGCTTGAAGCTGGTGTGAGTTTTTTTGTCTTTAATGTATTATATTATAGCACATAAGTGTTACTAATTTAAATCCCAGTTGACAATGAAATGATGCAGATGTTTACCAATGAATATACTCTGAAATCAGTTAATTCACTGTGTTATGAAGTCGTTCTTACCAATGAGGGTAATGAAGTATAAAATGACAGCAAATTTGTTTAATTCCTGAAAGTCATGTTCATCAAAGGCATATGATCATTTTGCAATAACTTGCACAGATGTGGAGTAGGCGATCCCAGATTTCTCTGCAAGAGTTTGCTTTTGGGATTGTCAAACCACAGTGATTAACTTGCTCCAGTTTCCTCTTACCTCAGTGCATCTCTCCTCCTCATCAGCCTGTGGCCTTCTATTCTGAGCCGGGCTGTTAAAGCTCCCCTTCCTTCTTGTGGACAGTCTGCGTTTAGAGACGTCTTTGTCACCGAGATCCAGGCTGCAGGAGGGCAACTCTTCTAAATTCTCTTGTCCGCCCGCACCTCCATCCGTCTGCTCACTGCCTTGGAGAATCTGCCTTCTCCTGGTGCTCACGTTCGGGGCTGTCGGTCTCCCACCTGTGCCCCCCTTGGAGAAGACAGGGCTCTCAGGAAGTGGAGGGCAGAGTCTTGGGGAGGACTGAGAGCTCTCCGAAGGCACGTGGTCTTGGGAACACAAAACAAATCCCGTTTCCTTGCAGCTGCCCACCACTTCTTGACTCAGCTTCTCCAGGCGCAGGACGGGTTTGTGAAGTGCCCTGAGCAGGGACTCGGAATCTGAGGAGCTGCCATCCTGAAGCTCTGGGAATTCATTTTGGCCCTCTTTAACCTGCCTGGATTGGGAATTTGGGCGTTTTTTCCTGGTGGGACGTCTCTTCTGCAGAAACATTAAAAAAAAAATGTAACGAGAAACAAAACACACAAGAGAATCACAGCAATTTCACATGGCACAAGTCAAAGACTATCACTTCAGGTTCTTAAGACTACTGAACGGGACACAGAAACAAAAGGAACAGAATCCAGTTACAAGGCTCAGCGATAATTACACGGCTGCTCTGGGCTCTCTCTGTGTCCCGCTCTCTGGCCCCAGAACCGTGATCTGTAACAACAAGGCAGTCAGAAAAACAAATGAAAAGACAATCAGATGCTTAAGGAAAAGGAAAACTTATAACTTATGTTTGTTCTCCTTGAGTCAGGTTTAGAGAGAGCTCAAAATAACCAGTTGGTAACATGGTGAGAATTCTGGTATGTTGGTCTAGTAACAGGTTTTTTTTAAGAACAGATTTCTGAAGAGCTTGGAAGTCAAAGAGTATGCAGCTAAGCACTGACAGGAAACAAAACCATAGGGCAAGTGAATAAACAGGGATTCATGTAAAAGGGACATTAACCACCTACTCTAGATTCTACCCACACCAAAGAGACGCCAAAAACAAAGTGATTTTTAACCAGTTTTGACTCAATTGCATTTGCCACAACAGAAGTCAACCTAGTTAGCTAATTACTTTTATCCAAAGCTAACAATTGAGCCCATTTACACAGCTGAGTATTTTACTGAAAGAGTGAAGGTGGAGCACTCACTCCAGGTCCACTCAAGTCCAGAATCCTGACCACTGCAGCCCAACATAGCTACATAACTAACAAACAAAACCTACCAATGCTTTGTACGTTTCTCCTTTGACAGCCTTTGCGTTTTTTCTGGAAAGATTTCTCTGATAGTGTTAGACACTGAAGAAGAAAACAAATATTTAAGTTCAATCGTAAAATGAACTTTTTAGTAGTGTATTTGCCCAAGAAGGTGACAGAAAGGAATTAAAAACAATCTTAAATGTGCCTAAATTAACATAAAACCTGTGGGAGAAATTAGCCTTGCAATTACTGTAGGTTGACTTAGAGTCCATACTGAGTTTACTCAAATACTCAATACAAATTTCAGCCCCTCTTGCTTCCAAATTTACACTTCCGCTCCTACAGGTAGGTCACAACGTACAGTACTAAAAACAATTATCAACCATTGAACAAAAGATATCCGATTGTACCAGCATTTTGAAAGGGTTTTTTTAAAGTTTCAAACATGAAAAAATATATTCCTTTGAACTTTTCCTGCTGAACCATATTTCACACTAAACATTTGTTAAAGTCTTATATGAAAGAATCACATACCCTGCATTCACAGATTGAACTAATTATTTACAGCCACACCATGCTATCTGACATGCCTCCATTGTTCAAGAGCAGGGTATTGAAAATCTGGTCTGTATCTGTGGAGGCTGCCCATTCTACATTTATGACTGCACGAACATATACAGACAACATCTATTTGCTATACTCCACATTGTTTAGGACTGCACTGGAATTTCTTACTCCCCTAAATGTTTACATTATGTCCACTTAGAAAGGAAATGTCCAAACAATGACACAACCCACAGTCAATGACAATATTACACTGCAGAAACCTGTACTGACCTTCTTGGACCACAGATCGGACCCTGTGCTCTCTATGAACGGGGAGTGGGACTGCAAGCTGCCCTGTCTCAATCTCTCGATGGTGCCAACCGGCGTCACTGGAAAGATCCCACCACTCCTGGCTCCCTCCCCTTCAGCCCTTTCCCAGACTGGGAGCACAAGCTTCCACCTCGGACACTGAAGTGACCTTTCGGGGACCGCAGGGCTCCAGGTCAAAGGAGGAGGAGGTCCAGAAGCTTGGCTAGGTGTTGGCATTACCGGGAAGCGTTGAGAGAAGATGACACACCCTGACTCCTGGCAACTATGCAACACATCTGGGCTCAGTTTCTTCAGGAGGAGGACAGGAGTTCGACCCAAAGTGCTCTTTCCCGAGCGGAACCCAGGATCTGACTGGCTCTCACTCCTGCGACAGGGCTCATGACGGGAGTTCTCTTTCCTTTTACTTACTGTTTTCTGGGCAGCAAACTCTTCTCGCTCTTCAAACGAGCTGGTCTGGTCGGGATCATCACACCTGCTGCTTTCCTGAAATACCAGAAACGTTAACTCATTAAAACATAAACAAATCGCAGACAGATTTATGTGCATCCTAATACTTTATTTGATTACACTGTTAGAAATTAGTGAAATAAACTGCGTCGCCAATGCCCTAAACTTTACGAAAAATCTAAACTCATGTTTAGAGGGAACATAAAGCACCTGTGAAAACAAAAGCACTACGTACTGTACATAATTTGCAACAGGCTGCTGGAAGTTTCAATTGAATCTACAGCTAAACAAAACTAGTGAATGAGAGTGGCACACGTGCTTGTGATAGTGTCAGGGTAGAGGTATACAGGATTAATAGATCAGACCCTGAATACAGCATAGTGTATTTCCCCTCTGTAGTCTGAAGACTACAATTCCCAGAAAGTGCTGGGGTTCAGAACAGAGTTTATGATTAGAAACACGTTACCTACTAGTAATTCTAGTCGTACTTAAAGGGAAGGGCTGCACTACGAGACCGAGACTGCGAGAAGTCTTTGCATGAGTACAGACCTACGTATTGGACAAAACCCTCGAGAAAAGGACGTTTCTGTATGGAATTTCCCACCCCCCCCCCACACACACACACACATCCAGCAGCATGAAGGAAATCCCTGAGCTTTGCCTTCTCCCCACATGTCACACTTCCATTCAGCATGCACGGGACAGCTCTTAGAGTAAACACATGAAGTACATGTAGACTCTCCACTATTGCCCTCCTCACGGCTTCGTCCTCCTCCTTGTCCCGCTGCTTGGTCCGCCTGGCTTCCTGTTCGCTCATTCGCATGGCCAGGCTCACCATTTCGTCTTCTGTCATATCTGAAGAACAAGAGCATCTCCATGACTCAAGGGACAGGCCTGTCTCCCCGTTAGGTTGCTAAGCGGCCTAGTACAGGGTTTGGGTAGGAGGAGGGAGGGACAAAGTACGACTCTCAAGGTCATTTTCCATGTCCCACAGAAAAAAAAAGGCCGCCCTCGCTAACTTTTCTAACTTTCTTCTTTTGGTGGCACGATGAATTTTTATTGTTTACTGTACACTGTACCTCCCCTTAGAAGGCAATTAACAATCATAATATCTTCACTGTTAAGAAGTCCGAAACTGTTAATTAATCATGGATATAGTATCGTATTTTCTACATTACTAACCATTACCGTGCCTTCTGTCACAAAAAAATATTATTGAGATGCCTTGTCCAGCAACTCTGGGGGAGAGAAGAGAAGCTGGGGGTCAGAGCGCAGGGTCAGTCATTTATACAGCGCCCCTGGAGCAGCTGGGGTTAAGGGCCTTGCTCAGGGGCCCAACAGAGTAGGATTCCTCTGCCGGCCGCGGGAAACAAACCTGCACAAATCTCAATTGTAAGGCAACCTTTCAGAACGAAAACAATTAAACAGTTCAAATTAAGGTCAGTTAAGGGTCCAACCTACCTGTACAGGTTCAGGACTGGGAGCACCTGACCTAGACAAAATGACTAAACATCACCCAACACCTTCTGCACACAAGGGGCTTGTGCAGAAGCCTGTCATACGTACATGAAATGCACTGGAGCCCGTGGGGAAGAGCACTACTCCTGCTTTAGGAGGCACTTAATGTGACATAATAATAATAATAATAATAATAATAATAATAATAACAACAACTATTTATAGAGCACATTTCATACAAATAGCAGATCAAAGTGCTTTACAAACCAAGCGTAAAAATAAAATCTTAAAATTAAGAGATATAATTTCAGTTGTAAAGGAAAACAGTAATACAGTAAAGCAACATTAATGTCAATTTATGCTTGAAAATTAAATAAATAAAAATTAGGAAAGTCGTGATAAAATAAGACCAATAAAAGATAAATAGAAAAGAAAGATAAATAGAAAGAACACTTAATAATTAAAAACCTACCTCGAGCCTGTCCGCTCTGCTGTCGTGCCTGCAGCCTGTCTTCCCTTGACAGGAGAACGTCGTGCTGTTTCTGTAGGTAAGGACACAAAGGTGCAGCACATTTCATCACCAAAGCTGCTGTTTCAAACTACAAGAGATCACTGCATCGTAAACATACGAAAAGTGGCAAACGAAAGGAGGCCATCAGGTCCACTTGGCTTGTTCGATGTTTTAATCGATGACTGAATTTAAAATCTTTATCGGGCAATTTGTTGTACACCAGAATTTTGACCTCAACTAACCGACTGTTCCAGACACTCCTTGTATATAAAGGTGCATTTCCTATCCGCCGACCTGAATCAATTTTAGGACAGAGAAAAAGCTTCCAGTTGTGACACCACATTCTTATTTCACTTCCGATCCTGATATAGTCCTCTGCTTTTACTTATTTGAACTTCAGATACTTGATCCAAACCTCCTCTTAATCTCCTTTGCTCTAGAACAGGGGTGGTTAACTAAATTCCTGGAGGATGTAATGTCTTCTGCTTTATTCTTCTTCTCCGTCAGACGCTCACACCCCTGTTCTAGACTCAAGGGATCTGCAGTAGTTCCTTTAACCTGTCCATATGTTACAGTCCCAGAAATCAGGATTGGTAAGGGCTGATCTTCTTTGGAACTTATCTAAGAGAAGAATGCACTTTTAGTGGCATGGGGCGGAAAACCCTATACAAGTCGAAAACAGAATGGGGTAAAAAAATAAATAAAGGCATGCAGAGCTCCTATGCGTTTCAGTTCCCGACAACACTTAAAAAATTGCGCCCAGAGCGGACAGCCGGAACTCAAACCCGTTACTGTTGACAGCCCGCAGACTCGCTCATCTCGCTCGATTCCTCAGTATCCTCGCCCGAACATGCGTGGGTATAGCCTAGTCACCTGGGTCTTTGGTATGCCCCTTTAGACTTTTTCCTCCCCCCAATAAGAAGGGCAATACTGAATAAAAAAATTAAACTGAAGACGTCTCAAAGCCGCGTCTGCTAGCTATGATAAAACACTTTGAAGGACAAGGGCCAGCACAAACCTCGCTTTCTGCGTCAGACACAACAACAAACTCGCCATTGTTTTCAGCGAGATGTCTCTTCTTGGGCACTTGGTCCGCTTCCCTCGCACGAATTCGCCTTTTCTGCGGCATACCGTCAGCATACTACATACCACCCTGGCTTTTACAGTATGGAAACAATAGCCGAATAGGCTGGAATAACGATCTGTGCTGTTCCCACTGAGAGATGAAAACCTCAGTATGGCTGCTCAGCCTTGGTTGCTTGGCGCACTGGTGGGTGCCACTTATTAGTGAGCTCGCAAAATACGAATTATTGCAGTTGCACTGACAGCAGACCTCTTACTGTAAGACGACTCTCAAAGGTCGCCATATTTCCCTCGCTCACGTGATCTCCCAGCCGCAAAGAATGCTGGGTGCATTCTCGTTTGCAACTGTTCAGTAACGCAAACCAAGAGCAGGTGTTAATGTTTACGCTTAAGCTATTTTGGCATGCATAAATATCAACACATTGTATTGATTCACTCAACACATTGAATTAGTTGTTTTGGAGCTCGTTATTCCAGTCTGTAAAAACTCGCTGAAAATCTGAAAGCAATCAAAACAAAATTCAGAGCATGATTTCTAAGAATGGTACTAAGCGCTCTCGTTTGCTTTTGTTGTATTTTAAGAAAAATGTCTCCGGTTTATGAATACATTGACCGAATATTAACTTATGATGTGAGGAAATGTAGAACACGACAATGTTTTATTTCTAATTTATGAATATTGAAATTTGGGAGAGTAATCTTATTTGCAATCACAAGGGATAAATCTCATATGTCTTGGGCTTTAAAGGATATGGCGTCTCCAACAAAGATAATCTTCGCCACGGATTACTCCATTTGATGGTTTGTCCATACAAAAGACATTCTTTTTGCCCTTTCGACTTTATTTTGAATACAGGAATGAGGCAGGATACACACTGGGCAAACACACAAACACTCTCAGGAGGGCCAGTTTTACAGAAGTCAGGTGTCCTACCGACATCAACGGAAGAACTTGGTGGGACACAGACTGCACCACCAGACACGGGAGAGAACTGGGACACCAGGGGGGGGAGTCCACCATCGTCTTCCTCCCCTCCTACCCTAGAGTGGACTTGGGAAAAATAAGGAACAGCAGGGACAGAAGAGGTAGCTGAAACCTGTAACCCCTGAAAGGCTGCAGAGAGCTCTTCGCTGTGGTGCAGTGAGGCACACCGGGACATCGCTGCTAATCTGGGACACTGGGTTTAGGGTAACCGGCGTCCACGAGGGTTTGTGTGTTCTGTGAGGGTGTGTGGCCCTTGGGGATCCATTTATCATGTGTGTTCTTATGATCAGATAGAAGTTACCACTCTTGACTGTAGGTGTAAGCAGAATAAATACTACGATTATGTTTAAAACAAGTGTGTCTTTGAGCTGTGGGTGGAAACCACAAACAAACTCCATGCAGGTAGCAGTGTCTAAAAAAAATGCGGTTTGGGGAAGCAGCTCCTCATGAACTTTTACCGCAGCACAACAGAACGTGTCCTCACTAGGGGCATCACCGTGCAGTACAGCACTACTACCACACGTGACAGAGACGCACTACAAAGGGTTGTGGCAACAGCCCAGAGGATTATAGGATGTGATGGGCCATCAATCGGTGAGATCCACACCGCCTGCTGTCGCTGTAAAGCCTGTCCGTCATTCAGGATCCCAGCCATAAGCTGGTCTCCCCCCGCGGTACCGCACTGCAAAAGAACTGACCCTTAGACTCAAGAACAGCTTCAACCCTGCTGCAGCGAGCATCATGAACCGCTAACTGTGCATTGTCTCAGAGGATAGGGCACCTCTGCCCTCTGCACTCCTGTCTTGAACTACCATGTATTTGTGTTCACTACCGCCTATTTCTTGTTCTCTACTGTGTATTTATTGTGCTGGTCCGTTTGTTGACTGTACATACCATCACTGTTTGTTACGTACTGTCTACACTGTGTGGTGCTGTACTGTACCTGTCCCGAGAGATCAGTGTGAATAAGAATCCCACTGTTCATGTACATACAGTATGGCAATAAACTCCTCTGCTCTATTCACCCCAGGAATTGAACCCAGTGTCCCATCGCCGCAAACCAACAATACTAACCCCTGTGCCACACCCGAGCCACCGTTAACTATAAATAAAAACCCGTACATGATTTCTTTAGAAAAGCACCAATTTAAAAGGAAACACATATTCGTTCATGGGAACGTTTAATAATTCAGTTTAATGCTACAGAAAAGAGTGGAACCAAAATGGGAAAGATCAGGTGAGCCTGGCAGATAGATTTTGCCTGCTTCATTTTGTGACTGCTGTGTTGTTCCTCCCCACCCACCCACCCACCCAAAAAAAACAACTTATCACGGCTGATATGAAAGACACCGTCTTCTGTAGGACACGGAAGTTTAATTGACAAAACACGTAAGATTACTGGACAGGCTCACCTGAAGCAGCCTGGACTGGCCAGCTCACAGGCGCTCAGTACGCCTGGCCAGTACTGGGAGGGGGGTCGCCGAGGAAGAACCAGGTCAGGGTTATAAGCTTTATCCCCCCGTCTGAGGGGACACGGGAGCTCTTCGCCTCAGAGGTGTCATCCTTAGGACGGGGTGTTAAAATTAAGATCCCCAACTACGTCCTTCGGCTGAACTCATTTCTCATTCCTCCACCACACCATACCAGGCGGGGCTGACTTCAGTAAGGGCTGGAACTGGGTCCCCCCCTTTTCTAGAAAGAGTTCTAGGATCTTTTGGGATTAAAAGTACTATGTAAATGGAAGGCATTTTACCCGGGTGCAGTTAACCTGAAGAAAACCAAGCATGTTTATCGGGATGTTTTGTTCAGAATAGTGCACTACACCGGTTTTCTCGTCTTTATCAATTCTTTCATACTTCTTTTCTTAAGAGGAGCTCCAAAAAGTCCCTCGACAATGTATGTAATGATGATGATTAAGTTTATTACTGTTTGCAAGAGGTCAAAACGCAGTACAGAAGTCAGAACGCACTGGGGGGGGAGTTCCGTGCGATTCAAAATATCAAGACGTTATTTGAACAGACCTGTTACACTTAAGGGGATATAAAGAGTCCCCCCCCCCACACATTTAAACCGGTAGCACACAGCGCCCCCCACCGACCGGAGAGCAGAGACCTCAGGCTGCAGCTCGCCATCGTGCGCGGCTCGGCGGCTCTGGGAAACATGGCGGACGGAGAGCGGAACGGGGATTTACCCGCTGTGCCGTCGGGGCTGGAGGAGGGTAAGCGCCTTCACCCGAGGACCCGGAGTCGAGCGGAGTGTCGCAGATATCGGGGGGACTTGTGCGAAGCTGGTTTCCCCTCTAGAGGCGGAGGAGTCGGACACAAGCGGGGAGCTCAGCGGCTGACTGCCTTGGAAATAAGTGCTCCGAGATGGAAGCTGTAAAAAATAAAAAATAAATGCATCATTCGAGGTCGAGGAAGCGAGGCAGAAAACAGTTAATGCTGTCCGCAGAGAGGGTATATAAAGTGTGCACGGAAATTCCCGATCAAATGCCTTCTGCTACCTCCGCAGTCTCGGCGAGATGTTTTACGTTACTGTCAACATGGAAACCGAGCTGCGGGTCTTCACTCGTAAAATGCCTCAGTGGACGCCAATAACATCGCTCCCGGTGAATGAAAACTTTTTTTCGGAGTAAATGCCCTTGCGCCTAGATACTACATGCTCAGCCAGGGCCATTCCGGGAAGCTGCTACGCTCTCCAGAACCCTGTTTTTATCCAGACAGGTTTATAGGTCACCTTCTTAACAAAGGTTGGCTGCACCTCTGTGTTATTAGCGTATTAACTCTAATATAAAGGATGAAGGATGAAGAAAGGGATCTTAGATTTGGGTCCCAGATCAATGTCTAAAGTACTTCATTTAACTAATCACCCACTTAACTGATCACAATGAAATCATATCCTTTCTTCACATTTCGGGGTGACCTACATTGGGGATGTCCTGGCCTGTGGCTGGAGACCCCTGTTCTAGAGATCTAATTAAATATTTCCCATGTTGCAAAAAGGAGGTTTGTGTCATTCCGAAGGTCAAGAGTAGAAATCGTTTTGCTAGATGGGGGTGTTCAGTCTTTGTGACCAAAGTCCTTCCTCTGGCTAATTCTTAATTCATTAATTGACCTTCAGCATCTGGACTAATTAAGCAGTTAAGTGTCCTTTCAGTGCTGCACCTACTGGGAGTTCAAAAGTGCTGTAATGACCTGGAATCAGGGGTCAAGGCTGAGATCCCTGTGCTAGCGACAGATTTTCACTCCTAAATACACCTGAATCTTGCAGCTGTTTGTTGGCAGAAAAAGTCACTCTGCATTAGTTCAGTCCAGTTTTGTTCAGTTCAGTTTATTTGTCATATGCACAAGTGCAATGAAATGCTTATTTGCAATGAAATGCTTAATGCATGTCATATGCACAAGTGCAATGAAATGCTTATTTGTTCTCCAATACATAGACATTAAAGGAATCGCCAAAAACATAAACACATAACAGCAGCAGCAGCAACAAGTTAAATAACATACAACTTAAAAAGCAAAGTCGGACAAGCAAGTTTGAGGAAAAAAAACATCAGTGTGCTGATTACTGAGCTCTGCCTAACTCTCGGTAGATAGTCCAGCTACAGTACATTCTAATGTCAGAAATATCAAGTATTGGCACTGCCTGAACTGTGCCTGGATTAATGACATTGCAGAGATTTCTGCATTTGGGATCCAGCTGCTTGTAAGTGCTTTCAGTGGTTTTTTTCTGCTTTATCATGTAATCGACATATTGTGTTGATTTTATTGAACCGTACATCACCCGGGATAAGAGCACCTGCTAGGAAGATAATGTGTGTTGACGGGAATGTATAGTTTCCAGTGTACATTGGATAAAGCTAACTTTTGCTTCAGTGCATGCCCCAGAACTAGTGTTAATAGTGCCCCGTTTGTGTTCTTCAACAGTGAACAAGATGATCAGCGAACACAGTCACCTCTTCTCTGACACGCAGTGCAAAGTGTGCAGCGCCCTTCTCATCTCCGAATCACAAAAGCTTGCCCATTACCAGGTGGGTAGATTACTTGGCTGTTGTTTTCTGTGTTGTGTCTCTGCGCTGCACACTTTGTCCGGACGGCCCCCTCTGGCATGTGGGAGAGCGCAGCCTTGAGACAGACTTAATGCAATACCAGTGTATTTGTGTAGATTGCCATCACATCCTAGCGTGCTACATAAACAACACGTAAGCAGGCGGTAAGCTGTACTGTACAAAACACTAACCACGAAGTGGAGCAACTACGGCTGCTGAGGAGGGCAGCTGGTATTTATATGAAGGATATGGATATCTCAACATTTGCAAGGGTTCAGTGTAGAGAACCATTGCAAAGAGCCAAGCCCACCTCTGAACGTTCGCATATTTAAGTCAATTACCATAATGAACAGAAACAACAGTCCAAATTTCAAACGTACAGTAATTAGCTAAAATAAATAACCTGAATCCCTCCTCTGCGTCTGGCCTGCAAATGATCTCTGCCTTCCCAGTTCCATGATTAGCACATCGCACTGTAATGAAAAGGGCAGTAAAACTGTCAGTGGGCCTGTAAAGTCGTCTCCAGACGGTCGTTCCACACACTGCTGACACAGAACCAGGAGCGTTCATTACAGTTTAAAAACCAGGCCACCCTGAGATGTGGATGCTGGATAGGGGGTACTTGGGCAGGGGGCAGAGAGAAGATGGAAAAAAATTGCACAAGTGGATTAAGAAGACTGGTGCAGAAATTTAGATGTCGATCTGGATCTGATGGCAGTTGCAGCACTATATATTATATTATCCCTCTCCTCTTGCAGTCATGCGCTTATTGACAAGTGTTACAGTGCTCTCTCTGATAAAAGGGTGTTCAATACAAAATGTGAGGCAGCACTGTGCTTATTAAATACTCCCGCTGAGCAATGCAGTACATGGTCTAGTATATGGATCATCTCTGCCTCTTTGGTTCTGTAGACCATCTGTGTGGCATTATCAACCGCTCTGTGCATAGCCTTCATCCAGGGACTGGACCAGTGTAAAGGTTCCCAGCTCTGGGAGACATTCAGATCAGGAATTCAGTGCTGTTTTATTCTTCATTCTGGATTGCTGCTGATGTTTAATAGTTAAATGTTGTTGTTTTTTTTCACTTTTACAGAGTAAAAAACATGCAAATAAAGTACGCCGATACATGAGTATCCACCAGGATGAGGAACCATCGTTGAAAAGGTTCAAAGGCCACTCATCTGACAACGTAAGCATGAAGCAGTGTTTCTTTGAAGAGCAGGATAACAACAATAAGTTCATGAGCCCTGATCAGGGGAGCAGGCAGGGGTGGTTTAAAATGGCACATTAAAGTCAAGCTGAATAGTAAGCACCAAAACAGTGGTTCAATCTTAAGCAAATTTTAACCTCACTGAAATAAAATAGTGTCATTGGGGTTTACTTATTTTTGTTGGCCTCCGGTGTTGGAGTACCTCCTGTTTGTGTAATGTGGTGAGTCTCTTGTCCTTGCTGCCATTGTAAATCAGTTAGTTATATGAGTAATTCTGTTACATAACGGATAGCAAGTGAGTTTCTGAATGTTTTTGTTCCAAATGAGTACTCAGATGAACTTTCTTTTTTGCTTCGGAGAGAACGTGAGTGTTTAATCTGTTCCCCATTTCATAACAAGACTGCTCATTTGGCAATACAAGAAGAAATTGTGAGAAGTCTCCTTGCACTAGAGCTGGGAACGCACTGCAGTCATGTGTTTTGCAAGTAAAAATGTTTTCTATGAACAAATTAATCCCCTGGTCCATCCCCTGCACATTTCTACTCAAGGCACCCAGAAATGAAGTAAACGACTACAGTGGAGCCCCCACGAAACAGGGCCGTGGCCGTGTTAGTAGCAGCAGTGCCAGACTCCTCTGTCCCCTGTTGGCAGCGTGGAGCACGGCGAGTCCAGGCTGAGGATCCAGGGACAGCAGGAGAGGCGCCCAATGAAGCGTCAACATTAAAGAAGCAGCCAGGCCAGCTGGCCAGATCGTTTCTACAACCTGGGCTTTCAGCGGGTGGGAGTCATCAACCAACAGGAGCATGAGCGATCTTCCCTGTTCAAGTTAAGGAACGGGGAAGAGACTTTTCCTCAGACAGGCTGCTTTCATCCCATCTTCTCACAGGCTGGGACTTAGGTCAGGGGAGGCTCCTTCGCTCCATTCATTGACTTTAGTGTTTCCTGTTCCTTCCTCAGGCAGGCAGCAACGGGGTGGTGGATCGCAACAAGGCGTGCTCCATCTGCAACATGACGTTCTCGTCGCCCGTCATGGCCGAGTCCCACTACCAGGGCAAGGTGCACGCCAAGACCCTGAAGCTGAAGACTCAGGGCTTCCAGGCTGCAGGTAAGACAGCCAGCTCCTGTTGTCTGCCGCCGACAGCCTGAGCTGGTGGGGGGGCCTTGTCTTGTCCCGGAGGGGTCCTGACTCTCCATGGTCATTAGAAATCCCCGGGCGCATCTCGGAAAGAGCAGGGGGTGCTAACCTTGGTGTCCTGGCCAGGTTCCCCCCTGGCTTTCACCCGTCATGGTCAAGGGGAGGTGATGTGATGTAGAGTAGGAAGCGAAAGGCCTGCTCGCGCGTCGCTGTCGGGCTCTGAGGTCTCATCCCCCGGGCTTTTTTGACGGAGGCTACAACTCCTGCACAGCCTCCTCCCCGCCGCCGGCCGGGACCCAGGCCAGGAACCCCCCGGGGGGGCAGAGCGCGGAGGGGACTCAGGGGTCTGCCGAGGGGGACCCCGACCGCTTCTGCGTCATCTGCCACGCCTGCTTCAACAACCCACTCATGGCCAGGCAGCACTACGTGGGCAAGAAGCACAAGAAGCAGACGACCAAGATGAAGTTGCTGCAGACCTACGGCCCCTCCAGCACGCCAGGTGAGCTTCCAGCCTCATAGAGAGACAAGAGCTGGGAAAACGCACAGTCCCTTCTCACCTCTCTCTCCCCACACACACACACACACACACACACACACACACACACACTTCTCCCCTGCACTGGCTCTTAACTCCGTCCTCAAAGTCCTGTGGCCTCTCCTGACTGTCAGTGCACTGGGAGCCCAGTGATGGACACCGGTCCACTCCATGGCCCAGTCACCCCACTGGGGACCGCAAGGGCTGTCCGAGTGCAGTCGCTTTGGCACCTGCCGCAATGCGAAGAGATGGTACTGTGGCGTGTTTTTTCAGGCTCTGTCCAGTCTGACCTGGCTGTTCTCCTTACAAACTGGACATAGAACGGAATGAAAATGAGTGGATGTGCTCGGTCACGGATTGAACAAAAAAAACAGGCTTTGGTCAGTGTGTGCGAAGTGAGAAATTCTGTCATTTCTGCCCCAGTAGCAGAAGTTCGGTTTTGTTTTCTTTTTTTAAGGATATCGAGGTTTCTTCTTTTTATAAACAGACGTGTGAAACGTTTTACAAAGTTCCTGCTTCTGAACAAGCTCTTTGCTCTCAGCTTCCACAGTGAGAGGGTATCCCTGTACAATATGCAACATTGAGCTGAACTCTGTGGAGCAGTACCAGGCACACATCAGCGGCTCCAAACACAAGCTCCAGTAAGTACCTGTTGTACAGAAGCTTAAGCCTGGATAGCATTCACCATTTTCATGGTGTATGGTACCGTACCCAACTCTGGGCACGGTGGGCCACAGGCGCTCAGCGGTCCACATGCCTTATTCAGCTCAAAGAAGCACAGCAGTGAGGTTCTCAAAACGGTTCTGAAAAATTGGTGAAGATGTCTCAAAGAAAAAAACTCAAAATGTGCCAATTGCGTAGAACAAAAGAACATAAAAATAATAAACATAAAAAATGGCAAAATTGCCTGGGTAAGGTGAATTGGTGCATGCAGTCCGGTTGAATAAATATGTCCAAAGCGCCTGTCTTGGTGGTGATGCTTGGGAACACGATGCTTGTTAATTGTGGATGTTGTGTGTTTCCAGTGCGGAAGCAAAGAAAAGGGACTCCGCTCTGATGCCTCTGATGGCACAGGACTACAAGTCTGCCTCCCAGTCACCCAAGACAGAGCAGTCACAAGACAGGGAGAACTGCAGCCAGTGACATTCTTGTACTTTTTTTCACCCAACAAAAAAAAAAACTACTGATGTCTCACAGCTTTCAACACAGCAGACAGAGGCGATCTCTGCGGAGCTCAGGCATGGACTCAGACTCCGCAGGGTTGCTTTCCTGAAGACTGCTCTGTTCCTCAGTCCTGCCACGCTGCCATTGAGAGCTTTCATGTTGCCCGGGTCTGTGAAAAGACAAACAAGACTGCTCCTTTTCCATCTCCTCTCAGCTCTAGTGTGCAGCTCGTCGAGTAGGTGTGTTTAACAAAGTTCTCCTAACCACAGCGGCGCCTATCTTAACGTGGGGTTCTCTTTAGACTTTATTTCTGTTAGTCTTGTTTTGAACCTGTATCTCTGGTCAGAGCTCTGGTCATTTTATTTTCTTATTAAGATGTTTTATTACTTTATTTTTTACCTGTTTTTAAAGACGAACTCCATTTAAATCAAAGGGAGTGTTTAGAGTGGATCAGAAATGTGAGTCTCTGCACACGGTTGGTTAGTTTTTATCTTAGTCTTTTTCGGCAAAGGAAACCCTCAGATTTGTCCTGTGTTTTTTTAGTTTTTTATTTGCTTTTGTTTTTACTTACCTCTTTTCTGTGAGTGGTGCATCTCAGTTTGGGGGTTTTCTGTGTGTGCATTTATTTGCAGCCAGTCCTTTTTGTTCTTAATGGTTGCATCCATTTGCAGTTGAGCCTTTTTGCTGTTATGATTTCGTTTTCAAATGAAACTATTTTGTTTAGTTTTCATTTTTTGTGCCCTTCAACAGGCAAAGTTGGATGTGTCTTTTTATATACCACAGACGATGGCACTTTACAAGTCCTTGACTCATTTCACTTTGATCTGGTTTGGATTTTGTCAAGGAGAAGAAGCAGAGCGTAAACAGAGCTCTGCCATTTTAATGGATATTAACATACTGTACAGTGAGAATGCAGTCCTCATTACAGTAGATTATTGACTATTAGGTGACCATTCGTTGGAAAACATCCCTTAAGGACAGCATTAGTCCAGCATGGGGAAGACATAAGCTCACAGGCACTGTTTGATTGTGCTAGCAAGCACTGACACCATGGAACAGCTTCAAGACATCCAGTACAGCGAAAAATTGCATCGTTCACTGAATATTCATGATTTGATTTTTTAATTTTTTTAAATTCAAATATCCAATAAATTCCGGAAGTTATGTTTCCAAACATGTGCAGTACACCTACTTGTAATTAACGTACTGTACAGTATTTGCCAACCATATTCTATTTCTTATTAAACAGGTGTGGAGCTAAATGTAATGTGTTTGTGCACTTACAGTTTTAAGCAGTAAACAAATTCCAAACACTAAAACATGTACACAACACTGTAAAGCACAATGTTATAGAAGAATGTGCCAAAACCAGGTACTATGAAAATCTAAATGCAGTTATCCGGTGTTTTTGAAAACAGGCCCTTCTCCCTAAGATGCCAGATAATCAATGATCTACCTTTACCGTTGGTTTGGGAATATGCTCAATAACAATTAAAGACAGATTTGGGTTTCTTTTATGTCTTTTGCTATAGTTTCTGTGTTGAGTTTTTTTAGTATGCGCCAAGAGCCTTATACTTTCAGTACTATGAAAAGTTTCTAGTTACCAGGGGATGTTCTTGTTTTTATTTGATGAACATTATGTTTGAATGTGCTCTTCATATATATCAGCACATCTTGAAAGAATATTTGCCCCCCTTGTAAAGTTTTCTATATTTAATTTTATTCAAGGCACTGTCAAATAGGACTTTATATTAATAATCTAAAGAAGATAAAGATATAAAGTGTACTTAGTGTGTACATAAATTTGACGTTTGAAGAAAATTAGAAGATTCTCATTTGCATAAGTATCCAGTCTTCTTTTGCTACAGCAAGCAAGTGAATACTATTAAAGTTCCAAAACTGTGTGAAATCAAAGTGATTTTAGTTGACTTTGGAATGAATTAGCCTGTCTCCCTAAGTTCAGAGGTTGAGAGGCACAGATCGGGATTCTTGATGAGGTTTCTTCCCTCATCAAGAAGCAGAATTTTTACACCACCCAAACACTGCACAGATCAGGCCACCCTTCCAGACTGAGCAGTGGGGCAAGCAGTCCCCTGAGCCTTTGTCAGCTCATCTTATCATCTCCCATGAGATGGACCGCAGACAAGTAGTAGCGGGTTGTATGGTTGGATGAGACTTACTGAGCTTTTTGCAAAGCCTAAATGCGACGCGTTAGATCTGGAACTGCGCATGCCTCGTACAGCAGCCACCCGGTGAGCACTACCCCAGCTGTGGACTTTCAGTGGGGTTGGCGGTGAAAAGCTTGTCCAGCAGGCTGTATCCTCACCGCTGCCAAATCTGAAACCCTTCCTTAGTGAATGCGTAGCAAGGTGAATGTAAGAGCATGGGGACTTCAACCTGTTGACCTGGCAGAAAGCGCTGGTCAGTTTTGTTCTTCACTTGTGATGTCATTATATAGAAATAAATCTGTGAATGTGGGAAGACATCATAGCCATCATTTATTACAAAGACCTTAGTTTTGATTAAACATTACAAATTTAACAAGCAACATTTCCTCCACTGTACAGATTTTGCTAGTCACTAGGTAATATTCTGGTAGCATTGGATTTCAACGTTTTATAAAGACTTTCATGACTGAGAAGATTTAGATTTAGGTCTGGTTTTGTGACTAAAATATTCAGTAACTGTTACAGTGTTTTTCTAATAAGGGTAAGAAACATTATCAGGTATTATTGATTGTCATGGACCTTTAAAATATTCTGTAAAGTACACATGTATTTGAAAATATAAACAGCTCTGTATTCCTCCATAATGACTAGCTTACGTTATAGT